TTCCTCAGCAAAAAAAGAGGAGGATTGGCAGATGTTAGCTCAGGGCCGATCTTCCTTACAAAAAAAAAAAAGATGTCAAAAAAAAATGCAAAATCCTTTCCTAATTTATGCAAGTACATTTAGTCAATAATTGTGCACTGCCTACTTTATGTTTCACTCTGCTCATGACACATATCATGAAACAGTATATAGATGAGTTCAAAAAGTTTTTCGGCCCACATGCATTTTGGAGGAATTAGATAATAAGTACAAACAATTTATTTATTTCTTTACAATCTGCTGCCCAGTAATACTGGATATCAAAATCTAAGTGGGCTTAGAATTTTTTTTTTTTTGCTTTATGTTTCATAACTTGAAAATATTCAAGTAAAATAAAGCTAAATGATATGGCTATATTACCAAACCCCCAGCTGGCAAACACGTTGTACATTGCCTCCCTTGCCCCATCCTTACCCATGCTCTTTTCTCTACCTCATAGGTAGATGGGAGCAGATTATGAATATCAATTCCAGGAACCAGAAATGTCAACTTGAACATATTTTGAATGACAAGTCACTAGATGCTACTGATTTTGGTGAGCAGCCAGATGATCTACCAGAAACTGATTAGTGTATTCTGTCAAAGTAAATTGTAATAGGTTGTTAAAGTAATGGAACCAATGAATTACTCTTCACTGTTTATTTTTTTTATAGTTTTATTTATTTATTTTTCCCCCAAAGCCCCGGTAGATAGTTGTATGTCATAGTTGCACATCCTTCCAGTTGCCATATGAGGGACGCGACCTCAGCATGGCCGGAGAAGCGGTGCGTTGGTGCGCGCCCGGGATCTGAACCCGGGCTGCCAGCAGCGGAGCACACACCCTTAACCGCTAAGCCACAGGTCCGGCCAACTCTTCACTATGTTTAAACCCATGTGTAGGCCCCTCCCTATTTAACTCCTGGTTGGGCCACATGATAGCCTTTGGCCAATGGGACATTAGCAAATGTAACACAAGCAAAGCTTAACAAGAACTTGCATGTCGCATCCCTAAGATTGTCCTGTGAGGAAGCCCAAGGAGGATAAGAACACAGGGAGCAGGGAGGAGCCATCTTAGCAGAGGCTGCATAGACCAAGCAGCCCCAGCCTGTGTACCAGGAGACCACAGCTTCATTAGTGACCCCGGGCAAGAAGAGCAGAAGAACTGCCCAGCTGACCCCAGCCCAAACTGCTGACCCATCAAATCATAAGCAAATAAAATGATTGTTATTTCATGGTAGTATGTTGTGCAACAATAGATAATTGACACACCACATTTCCCTAGATTTCAGGTCAAAACTTAGATAAGTTGAAATTATCCTTTTTTTGTGATCTACCCTTGTTAATTCTTTATGTTGATACCAGCTAATTTAATTTACAATACTTTCTTTTGTAATTCTCTTGCTCTTTGAAGATTAATACAGACATTTCTGCCCGAAAGTTTCCTAATCTGAATATTTTTACTTACTAATATGGACCCCCACTTAGCATAATTTATGTTCTAAAATTTTATTCAGAGATTCATCTTCTGCTTAGAAATGCTGCAGTATGTTTCCTTTAAGCTTTAGCAGTCTACCATTTGTTTTTAAAGTGTTTTATGATTTTTACTTTTACTTTTTGAAGTTTGGCCACACTTATATCTATATATTTTCCATAAACCACCCTTTGCTTGAAAGTTTACGAGAGAGAGAGGGGTTAACCAACCTGTTATGTCTTACAGCCAATCAGCAGAAGAAACTAGAATGGTGTCTAGGTCTTTTGACTCATGTTAATAGCTTTATTCACAATTTTCCCCAAAGTAGTCAAGGGCAAACACTGTGATTGTCTCTCTAATCCTGTGGCAATCTCCAAGGTGGGCCAGGGGGGTTAAGGAGAAATATACCTAATAGTGAAGGGGAAGATGCATTATAGAGTTTGACAGAGATCAGGTATTGTCTACCTGTTTACACTGTCTAATATTTTAAATGTCAATTTTTTCACTTATCTTAATTTATCCTTATAATATCTTTATAATATCCCAATGACTTAAGCCAGATGTCATTCTCATCTTACGTAAGAGAATCAGTAAGATAGCCTATGGAACATTCAATTATAACCTGCACAATGTACTGGCTATAAGGAATATAAATAAGACATCCCTACTTAGCTTTCTCTTTAACCCTTAGACCTGGTAGGACCAACACCGACTTCTGGGAAGGAACACCCGGATTCTAATTTTATACTGACTTAGAGCCCCATCTCCCTCAGTACCTCCTGATCCCAGTCACTCCCTTGTACCCCCTTATCTTACCTCACCTCTCAGAGTTCCTCAAACCTTGCACAGGGCAGAGGCCCAACTACTACTTGTCAAGTAAATGTGTGAAGCGTCCATGCTGACTTAGAAATATGGCATATGGTTTAAGGAAGTTTTCTGACCACGAGTGTACATTTCTCCAGATCTGCATTATTCTTGGGAACAAAATACGGATGTGTTGGAAAGATCATGGTCTTATGAGTTACAGACCAGGGCTCTCAAGAAAAGTCAGATCAGTTTCCCCTTTCACTGATTCAAGTTTTGATCACTTAGCACTTGTCAGGGGCTGGCTAAGATACGAGCTATACTCGAAACAAAACTCAACACTTTTAAGTTCATGGATTTAAATCCTGTTTTTTCCCCTCTGTAATATGGGATGACTAAATGACAGAATTTTTAGGAAGCACTATGGCATAGTGGTTAAATGCACAAGCTCTAAAGCCAGACCTCGTGGGGTGATAACCAAATCCTAGCTCTGATATTAGCTTTGTAACATTGAGCAAGTTATTTTACCTTCTGTGCCTCAGTCTCCTTTTGTGTTGATGGAGATACCATTATCATGGTTGTTGTGAAGATTAAATGAAGCATGTCTACTGCTTAAAACAGTATCTGGCACACAGTAAGTGCTCAATTAGTTACTATTATTGTCAGCTATGGGTTTAAGTTGGAAAATGTATATAAAGCTCTCAGCACACAGTCCCTGGCACGTAAATGATCAAAAAATATAGTTATGATTATTGGTAATAACCAGCTACCATGCTTTATTTGAAATAAGTTGGATTTGCAGGGTACACTTTGAGAAGCCCCAGTGGGATGATTATTAACTATTTTTATTTTTTTAAAAAAAGGAAGAAGGCAGGAACAGGAAGATCATAACTTCCTTTGAGGTTTTCACCTGTCATCACCTATGCATGGCCAAGTCACATCTGGCATAAGGCACTCATTATCTCCTTGTCTTTACTTACAAAAGTGTAAGAATAAAGTGTCCCATGAATACTAATTAATGTGAAAAACAACTTTTTAAAATGACAAATGTGAATACATTTGTTTTTATATAGATACATAAAATAATTCATTTCTATACTGTTTAGTTAGAGCTAAATGTTAGGGATAATTTTTTTAGATCTCTTACTTCATCTCCCACTTGAAATCCATGCCATTCCATGAAATGAAATTTATCATGAAGACATGAATACACAGGTGGGCTGTGTATGTCTATGGGCATCAGTATTTCTTCTTTTGAATAATAACCTCTTGGATAATACTTTGTTTTAATCTGCCCCCCCCAAAGCCCCAGTAGATAGTTGTATGTCATAGCTGCACATCCTTCTAGTTGCTGTATGTGGGACTCGGCCTCAGCATGGCTGGACAAGCGGTGCATCAGTGCGCGCCCGGGATCCAAATCCCGGCTGCCAGCAGTGGAGCTCGCGCACTTAACCACTAAGCCACGGGCCGGCCCTAATACTTTGTTTTAAAAGAATAAATATCCACTAAATATTTTAGTTTACATCATATGAATGTTGATTTTTTTTCTTTGTTGAAATGATACAGATGATTCTTTATAGAAAAACAGTATAGTCACAGTATTTGAAAATATATATTAATGCTTATTTTTCTTAACTATGCTCCCTGGGAAGCAGGATATAACTTAATTTATGGGAAAACAGTAGTTCGTTTAAACTGTTGAAATTGCTTTTAAATGTTTCCCATATACTTATCTTTATTTTTCACTGCTTCTCTCGTCTCTTTACCTCTCCTTCCCTTTCTTCCTCTAATTTTGATTTGCCCTCTCTACTCATCACTCCTCTTTTAAATAATCATTAATCTCTTTAGAATTCCTTCATTTCCTTCAGAATTCCTTTATCCATTAAAGATACAAATCTGCTGCTTTATTAGTCCTAGTAGTAATTACTAGTATTTATCTAGCATATTGGCATCTTCTCAGCAAGTATCATCTGTATATTAACGCTAGGACCACCATAGGAGAAGAGCAAAATATGTCCTCTAAAAATTATTTGGACCATTCACTCGCGTGGGTAATAGCATTTGTACTGAATCGTTGGCAACAAAAATACAGGGACTTGGAGCCAAAGTGATTATGGCAGCTGAGTATACCCTTTGGCACCAGGCTGACTTCTCTGGGCTTCACACTAGGAATTGCAAGCTTCATTTACTCCTCCACATTTGTCTTGACTCCTTCCCTGAGGCGGCTGGGTGGAAGAGGGAAGGTTGGTAGGGGAACTGTGTTCAAGTGAGGATCTGGAATGGTTGCCTATTTAAATAGCAGGTGAAAACAAGGCGGAAATGTGGGGGGCTGTAAGCACGCGAGGAGGTTACTTGCCAGTGCTGAGCGGAGAGCGAGGATTAAGGGATCACCTGAGCTCGAGAATTACAATCGCTCCTGACACCTGCGGCAAAATTTTCCATCAACAGACGGTACCCTGGGGGGAGGGGAAGGGCAGGGGAGCGCAGGACCGAGCGGTTTTCGCGGCGATTGGTGGCGCCCCCTCCCCCCCGGGGAGCAGCGGGTCCGACCCCTCCCCCGCGCCGCGGGTGGGCGGGTCCCAGCTGTCACTCAGCGGCCGCCTGGCTCTCCGCCCCCCGCCTGACACGCACTTCGGGGCCGCCCCCGCTCCCGCTCCCGCTCCGCCTCGGGCTTCTCCCAGCTGAAGTCACAACACGGTCCGGCTACCTGGGCGCGCCCGCCGGGCAGCTGCGGGCCGGGCGCCGGGTGGCGGCGCTGAGGGGGCGCCGAGAGGAGCTCGGCGGCGTCTGTTGGAGCCGTTCCCCCGGAGGGCCGCCGGCGAGGGCATGAGCGCGGACTGCCTCTGCCTCCGGAGCGGCGGCGGCGGGAGCGGCGAGGGCAGGGGGCGCCGCGCAGAGGCCACCGTCCAGGGCAGCGCCGGGGGACAGCAGGGCAGGAGATGTGCCTGTCCTTAGCGGCACAGGAAGCAGCATGCACCCCGATGCCACCG